CAAATATCCAAAGGGGTTTTATTCCTTTTATAAGTAAGAAACTGTAAAGCTCAAATCTCCCTAGATAACTTAGGGGAAACAAACAAGAACAAAAAGCCAAAGAAATCCTTTTGCTGCTGCACATATATCTTCAATAAGGAGGAGTAAACAAAGGAGTAAACAAAAAACCCAAGGCCAAAACTTGCATCTTTGTTTTATTATTTATGATGCATATGCCGGACATGTTCTTTTATAGTTCTTTTATTTGAACCATTTGTACTACCTTTTCATTTTCAGAGAAAGTTTTATTTTTTTTATTGCCCTGTCTGATTTTTTACTCTTTAAGTATTAAAGACAATATTAAAAAATACAAACTCTCTTGGCCTGCTTCTACTGAAGGTGAGACTGAAGTTATTAGATTTAGAATTTTCCATTGCCCTTTTCATTTGCTAATCCCATACTCTTGCAATAATTGGCGTGTGGTTCTCTGAAGTGTTTCAAACTGTCAACATTTTGGAGTTTTATTGTGTTGATTGAAAGGCAGTGGAATCCAAAAAATGTGGGATTAAATTGTTTCCTCTTTTTCCTTTTCCTCTGGAAGAGCCGTAAAAGTGTCACGGCATGACAGCGCCAGCTCTTTTATATGCTCCAGTTGTAGGCTGTTATCGGACATCTCCCTGTCACCTCAGACGCAGCGAGGGAGGAAGTGACAGGCAGAGAGAGAGAGAGAGAGAGAGAGAGACCGCCGCCGTTGCTTAAGAAGCTGGGCCAGGAAGCTGGTTTCACTGGGCTCAGAGATACAGAGGGGCCGTCTCAGAGGAAGCTCATCTGTCAGCAGGAGGCTGGGAAACAGAGTCTGACAATGAGGTGTTAAAAAGGTGGCCATGAGGAGTCCAAGCCAAAGGCAAACAAGCGTCCTGCAGCCGGCCATCTGTCAGGGCTCCGCTGTGTTCTAACAGTGAGGCCAATGTTTAAAAGGTCAGGGCAGGTTGAATAACTGTGCCTGATGTAGGCGGCTAAAGAGTCATTTCCTCCTGACAGCACGCAGCAGTGGTAGGGAAGATGCATTGTGGGAATAGAGTTTAAAAGCCATTTTCAGAAAACTAAACTGATTTTGCAACCCCCCTCCCCTCCAATTTTATTGTAAATCTCATTTTACTGCAGGTGGATGAAAACCGTTCTGTAAAAATATTGTGTTTTCTTCTTTCCTGAAGCCAAAAAATTATTTTCCGTTTTGCTCTGTTGCAAACACAAACCCCTTCAGCAGGAAATCACCGCTAAATATGAGCAATCGGAATGTCCTTGTGTACCTTCATGGCCAGACTTGAGGGTATAGAGGGAACCTGCTTCTATAAATAGAAGTAATAATACCAAATAGAAGAGCTGTGATGAGAAAATAAAAAGCTGGCTCACTGGCATTCACACCAAGCCTAGTTTGATAAAGGAAACACCAAAGCTCAGATTGTTTTCCCACCTGGGGGATATTAAGTTATTAGTTTGTCTTCATTCTGCTTGGCTGAGCGCTCAGCATCTGTTCGACTTTAAATGTTCGCTTCTGTGTTTTTCTTCGGAGTATATCTAAATAGTCACTAAGAGGCTGTGTTTTAATTTGACTGGCATCATTAGGAAGTCTGGTTGATGAAACAAATATCAAACTGGTTTCAGGGGAAGCTTTTGTCAAAATTAAATTCATTTCTCTATTTTTGCATTTTACTTTAATTCTGTTTATTCATATCGTCCCAAATGACATATAAATGCTTGATCGTTTTTGTTAATCACTAACTAGCAGAAACGTACCAGTTGATAAGACCAGCAGCTGAGTAGCCGTCAAAAGACAGTTTAGTAGTGCTGTCCATTGCATTGAAAATCTCCAAGAGGTATAGAAGTCTACTGTATTTGCAGCAATTCCTTTGTCAGGTGCTTTGACCAAATAAGAATCACAGCAACTGGAAGGAAAAACTGGATCAAGAGTACATTATTATAGCTACTTTGAAGACCATATATAAGAAGGAGAAGCTGCTATTAATGCTGCACTATTTTCTATGGAAATTTGGACAAAGGGAGTGTTGGTCTATTGGTTAGAGCAGTGCACTTGTGTTCTGAGAAGGGTGCAAGTACCTGGTTCGATCCCCACAGTCTGCATTCTGGGTGCCTGAGCAAGACCCTTAACCCAACACTGATCCCCTGGCGCCGCACAGTGGGAGCCTACTGCTCCCCAAGGGGATGGGTTAAATTCAGAGATAAATTTCTCCAATGTGAGATCAACTAAGTTCATTTATTATTATTAAAAAAATGTTTAAACTTCGGTGGAACTTCCTCAGAATGAGGACACAAGCACAATGACCTCTTTTAATCGAATATCCACAGAATATTTTGCTGCAATCTTAATATGAGTGGCTCTGTCGAGGATGGACAGAAGCAGTGGGAAAGTATTAAGGACAAAAAAAATATATATGATACTAATGGTTGCAGTAGCCATGTCAGTTATTCCGTCCTACAATGGGAATTATCTAAACACAGCTGCACTTGTCAAGAGGTACCTCAAATGACAAAATAGACGTTAAAGCAGCAATATCTTTGTAAAACAGTGACCCAATAGTAACAAAGAACATGTCCGAGAGTATTCTCTTTAAACAACAAAAAAAGATTGAAAAAAGCCCTATAAATGACCCAAGGTCACAAAGGAGACACGAGTGAACACAGACGCAATGGACCAGTAGTACTTTCATTAGAGGAAATAAATGCTAAGTTTAGGGCAGAAATAGGTCCCTTACTGATTGAGCACAGTGCTGGTTCACCTGGACATTATTTGTTAAGTGGAAAAAAAGAGCAAACGTAAGGTTTTGGTACCAGGCACTACTTAGTTTTACAGATAGAAGGGTGTCTGCCTCACAAACAAAAAGCGGGAAATGGTTTCATGAGACAGGAGCATGATAAATGATGGGCCGGTTTCCCAAATTAGAAACCCCTGGGTTGCTAATTTTAGAAACTTGCGGAAGGGCAATATCTGTCTGTAATTGGTGTTCGCTGTATTGAGTTTGGACATTCATAGAGTTTAACAAAGTGCTAAAACGTGTTGTAAGAGGCAAGATGAACTCTGTTGTGGAAGCAATATCCTTCTTGTTTTTGTCTACTCATAATAAGCGGCATCATATTTTATATTATGTATCTGGATGCACATGGGAAAGAATAAACACTTCAACTGAAATATGACTGTGATTGATCAACCTGATGCGAAATAATGGCCATCTAAGGATCAGCTGCATGAATAGTCACAGGCTGTAGCATGTATGTTATTGTTGCACTGACAAAAGAAGAAGTGTTGTTCTAAACTGCAGCCAAAAATGATGTAAACACAGAATCAATCAGCGAAACAAGGAAACAGTTGCTTTAGACTCGCCTCTCGGGTTATTGATGAACAGCCAAAATGTCTTGACAGCCTGAATGATGCATGGCAAAAAAACTCAATGTACAACAAACCTGCTTTCCCTTCCAGCTGTGATCGGAAGTGAATATTTCTAGAGACAATTCATACAACATAGTAGGAGTCTCTCATTTTCCTAGATATTGATTGTTTCAGCTTTTTAAAGTTTTTCCTACTTTAACTTGGCTGAGTATAGATGTGCAATAGCGTCTACTTTATGCCTCATTTTACATGGTAAAATTCATCTGAAGGTAAGATAAACATTATCTGTTTTGCTGATGAAAGTTAGTTACAGTACAGTTTAAAAAAGATATTGACATAAACCCTATCAGTGACATGTTCTCTCCTTCTGACATTAAATCATGCTAACTTTCCTGTTTTATATGCAATAATATGCATATAAAATGCAATAATATGCAATAATAAACAATATGCAATAATAAACAACAAATAAAATGTCCCTTTCATCTTCTCTGACACATATCTGCATGAATGTTACCGTTTTCTAGAGAACAAATTTTACTAACCACCTCAGATCTTTGACCTCAGCTCTCCAGCAGAACAGCTGATCATCATGCCCTTACTGTTCCTCAGACACTTGCAGAGGCCTGCATGTTTTTGGCAGGAGTGTAAAAGTGAAATCCAGTAATCACAACTTGACATGTGAATAGGTTCAGTTGCGCATCTAAGTCTGATTTGGATGCTCAATTCAAGACACCCAAAGTTTAGAAGTATATCTAAAGTGAGAAAAATCTTCTCAAAATCAGATATTAAAATAATCATCCAAGCTTTTATCTAATATGCATTGATTATTGCATTTCTGTTTCGCCTTTAGACATACGGTACTTTGGATAACTACATAATTCTGCCTTCGTATTTTTGACTACTTCATCTAAAATTGCCCTCATCACTCCATTCTTATCTGCATCTCATTGGCTTCTAATCAAAGTCAATGTTCTCTGTTTACATTCTGGTCAGGCCCCTCTGTGGGCCCTCGTTTTCAGGGCATACCCTTCAGTCTTTAGGTCAGAATATACTGAAGACTCATTCTAAAAACTTGGGGACACTTTCCATTTCAGGCCGGCCTCTGTTCCTCCGTGTGGCTGACTCTGTGGAAAGTTTTTAATAAACAATAAAAAAATAATTTAAGAAAAGCCTTCGGTTGATGTTTTAAACGTTTCCTCATATGAATTCATTTACATATCGGCCCCATTTTTTTAAGCACTTAGTGATTTTTTTTTTTTTTGTGTGAAAAGTGCTTAATACAGTGAATAAACATGACTTGCTCTTATTTACCTACTCAGTTGCTGTGAGTTGATCAGCATTATCTAGCTTGGTTTTTGTACACTTCTCCACAGGTGTTAACATTTCCAGCTGTGGAGAAGTGTACACTGTGTATAAGAAGACAGGAGTGCATCCAGTTTGTTAGGAGATACCCATTAGCATGTTTTTGTGAGCTGTAAATGTGTGTTTTGCATGCAAATGCATGCAATCCTTGCTTTCTGTTTGCTGTTTATGTGCTCTTGTTCTGCTTCTGTTTGTGTGCCATACGTGTTCCCTCCAACCCCCAAGTACTCAGTGTTTTGTTTGTTTGCAGGTACTCCTTCCAGGATGAGGAAGACATGTTCATGGTGGTCGACCTCCTGCTTGGAGGGGACCTGCGTTACCACCTTCAGCAGAACGTCCATTTCAGCGAGGACGCTGTCAAACTCTACCTCTGTGAGATGACCCTGGCTCTGGACTACCTGCAGAGCCAGCACATCATCCACAGGTACCTATTCATCTTGATGTTTCTGATTAAATTAGAGAGATTTATTTACTATAGGAGAAAAGTTTAGATTGTTTTTGACAGCTATACTTCACTGCATTTTAGTCTTATGTAACAATAAAGGGAAACAAAAATTAGGGCCTATTCACACATCTGTTGTATATGTGGACAGGGAGGGGAACAAACCTCACATCAGTTAACTGTCACCTCTTTTCAAATAAGGCTCAGTGAAAATTGCTCACCTTTATCCTGCATGAAAAGTGCTCTCAAAGATACAGTCAAGGTTGCATCTAATAGATTCAGGGGGTTTTATATCATTGCACTTTGGGTCTGAAGCTAGCAACAACATTATTGATGTTTTACTTTCCTTTGCTCCCCTGACTTCAGCTGCAACAGGATGAATTACATTTGAGGACTGTGTGCCGCTGGAATATATGTTCTGTGCTTCAAAGGGAAGACAGCATTAATCTGTTTTTACTGGTGTTTGTGAGTCAGAATCACAAAGTCGCAGCTCCTTTTTCAGCCGTGTCACTAACATTTCTGCAGGATAGAAGCATGATGTGAACAGTTTGATTCTCTATCCACTCTGTTGTCAACTCTCAGGTGCCCTTACTCTTTCCTGTTTTAAGACCCTGTTTTACCGTGCGTACAGTCTCTAAATACTGTAGTTTGCCCAAATTCAGTGGTGTATATAAGGTTAATAATCAGCGCCTATCGCATTAAGGTCTCCTTAATGAGCATGCTCTGTGCCAAACTAACAAATATGTGCTTGAGGATCAATCACATATGAGTTTGTTGTTTGCAGTATCATGCAACAGACTCATTGTTTTTCCATGCTTGTTAAACTGAAGTGATTAATATAGAAACTGAATTTAAATACCTTAGGCTATTTCTTTTTCCTAAGCTTAATGCTTAGAAAGATATTTTATAGTTGACAGAATCACTAAAAGCTCAATTCCGACATTTTGGACCTTTCAGGAAGGAGGTTTATGCTTGCTATGACTTTGTGTGGTATGCCTAACTGTGTCATCTGCTTCAGGCAGGCCAGTGTTGCTATATAAATGTTGACTCTTTATTTAGACATTTTTTAAACACTAATGCAATATAATTATTCCAGAATTGTAGATAAACATAACCCTCTGGACCTTAAATGTTTCTAAAATTCATCTTCATTTGCTCGTACATCTCTCAGAATATCCTCCACACTAGTTTGTGCCAAACTATACTATGTTTGGTTGATTATATTTCTCTTTTAAAGCATAAAACAGTGGCACATGCATGCTACCAAAACAGCCTATTAGCCACTATATCCCCTTAAGCCCTGATCGTACTGGTAATGTATGCATTGCCTAATTTTTCATTCTTAAACAGGTCTGCAATTATTTCTCCTTCAAGGAGGTTAGGTTGTTGTGAGAGTCTGCATGTATGTGTGTCCGTCTATGTACAGGATTACTTGAAAAATCATGAACGGATTTTAATTATTTTTTTTAGTTTTCCCTTTTGCCAGGGAAAATTCCTTTTCTTTTTGTTGTTGTTCCCCTTCTTATTTTGGTTCCGGGGTTTTTGTTCTTGTTTTTTTACCTTTTTGGGTTGGGGTGTTTTGGAGGCGGTTTCCCCTTAACCCAAAGGTTGGCGGCGTTGATTCTTTTCGGCTTCGGCTTCGGCCCCAAATGTTCTTAGGTTTTTTGAGGTTGAAACCCCCGGAAAGGGAACCTTTTTTGTTTTTTTTCCGGGTTCAATTTAAATTTTTTGACCGGTTTTTTTGGTTTTTTTTTTTTTACTGGAGGTGTGCCTCATGCCAAGGAACAATTAATCTAAATGTGGCAATGATCCAGGTAATGTGTGAGTTTTAGCTACAGCTGTAAATCACAATTTGGCTAAAAAATGTGCTGCTTGGCAGAGGTCTGCGCTCTCTGAGTGCTTTTATAGTTATGCTTTGTTTTATTGCTTATGGCCTTCAACATTTTAAACAAGCATGATGCCATTTCAAGGTCTATCAAACATGGCAACTTTTACAAAAATTCTTCATAACACATGTATGTCCTCATTTCATGGCTTCATGGTTGGTATCCTCTGAAACAGGGAAATCTGAGCCTTCCAATAAACTATTGCATACCTTCATTCAGAGTTGTCAGGTAATGCAATTTCCATGCGTAATGGAGGTTCTATATGTGGCAGACATGGTTGATTTACTCACAGGTCATTTCACAACTGCGTCAAAGATTGGTGTAATATCAGGTACATATCATGACCCAACAGAAGGCCATATGTGAAATGAGTCGTACCAGCTGTATTAGCACTTTTATGTGAGTAGACACTTGGTTATGATGTCAAGACACATTCAGATAAATTGGGCCAAAATCACTCCTGGAACACTGTCCACTGTTTAGATGGTTGTTTTTGAGACTAAATATAATTACTGTACAGTAAGCCATGATCAGCCACAAGCAGACATGCACCATCTGCAGGTAATACCGTGGAACTATATGAAAGATAGGTGGCAACGTTGACGCAGCTACTTAATGGCGCACGAACGTCCTGAAAACTTTGTGGTAAAGCGAGAGCTTGGTGTGGTGGAAGACCAACCTGATCTACTGCAGCTCCTGTGCGCTAGTCAATCCCCCCCATAGCCTCCTAGCAAAATATAAGGAAAATGAAATGTCCTTTTCTTTTTAAATGCAAACAGGGAAAAATCATCAAAGTCATAAATATTTTAATTAAATGCATTTAAAAAAAGTTGTTAACACAAGTTGTTAATGTGAGGGTAGAGGTTGGTTGTGGACCCAAATGCAGATTTGAGTTGTTGTAGGTTTAATGAAGTTAATGACAACAGGAAAAAAAATCCAGGAATCAAACCCAAAAACCAGGAGAGGTCAGGAGGAAACACACAACAACAGGACTGAAGAACTGCACAGGGAGAATTTATATGGGAGACAGAACAAAGACTATTCAGCTGATATGGAGCAGGTATGGATGGAATTGACTAGAAGTGGACTTTCTATGTTTGAAAAGGTAACGGTCATGTAGCTCCATAGAAGGCTCAGTCTGGAAAAGAAACATTTAAGCCATTGAGCTTTGCACCAGTTTTCATGCTAAAAGAGATGAAAGAGAGCACATACAGTTTGTAATGAATCAGTCACTGTAAAAGCTAATCTAGAGTAGCCTTCTGGATTCTGGGAGCTGTGACTGAAAGCCTCCCAGTTGCAGCTGAACTTGTACTTAGACTGAAAAGTTAACATAGCATTGCTAATACTAGTATCAGTATCGGTGAGGATGTTTACTCAGGCATCCATGAGCTTTCCAGCGACACGCCTCTGAGGCTTTAGGTCGCGTTTCTGTTAACACCAACATTCATACCTTCTTCCACTATCAGCACTATTCACGCCCTATCCCTTTTGGAATCATTTTTATTTTTACTTTTCATACCACACTGGATGTTGGACTTTTCTTTATTATTTACAGAAGTTCACTGGGAGGTTCTAAATTGCTTAGCACATTACGTCCTTGTTGAACCATGCACATATGTGCAGTATAGTACCACCGATCATATGGTGTTCTCATGGCAAATATATAGACAGAAGAGTTATTATTTACTAGCAAATTGAACAGAAATAATGGTTAAACACAATAATAATAAATAGGACATCAGCAGGACGTGGTAAACTTTTAGAAAATTATTTCATGCAACTAGAATGAGTTACTGGCATATAAATTTAAAATGAGTTTAAGGACATTTTCAGTTACATTTCTTTACACTTGACAAGCTGTTGTGTTCTATTTAAAATGCCTACAGAGCTAAGATGTATCTGTTATTGGGCAGAGGGTAAGAAAACCTCCAGAGCCAGGCATTGGTGCCATGCTCTTTAGTTGAGCATATCGAAGTATGGTGAAAAAATGTTCATAATCTGGGGTGTGAAAAGAGGTTGGGCTCCTGGTCACATTTTCAAGATACAGCATCTTTATGAGGGCGTTGGCCAGACGTGGTCTGGACGAGTTCTGTCAGATAATGATCCGGTGTATAATACAACCACCAGTGTTTGCAATGGAATCATTGTGGAAAAATGTTCCTGTAATAAATAGAGTGAAGGAGAGGAACAGGAAAGTTGTATCCAGGATGTTCGCATTAGAAACCCTATTTAGTTAGTTTGACTGTGGGAGCCTCTAATTTTTCTAATCGGTCATTGTCATGATAGGGAAGAGCATCCGGTGTGGGGCCCTACTTTCCTAAATGAAGAACAGAGCTTCGTTTTCTTTAAATGTGGCCATACATCATCTTTAATCAGTGCAGCCTCTAGTATCCGAGTTTTTCCTCTGCACAGAAATGCTGAGTGCAGCAGTACAGTGAGCATGGGTCTGCAGTTTGATGAGTTAAAGAGCAAAAATCCTTACAGACTGATTTAGTGCCACAGATGGGCAAAAAACTCTTTGGATGATGACCAGAACCTAGTCTGAGCTACATTTTCACTTTTCACCAACTTATATGTGTTGTATGTGCATGTACAGTGAGGAAAATAAGTGTTTGAACACCTGTATTTTAGCTAGAATTCTGACTCTCAAAGACCCGTTAGTCTGCCTTCAAAATGTCCACCTCCACTCCATTTATCGTCCTAAATCAGATGAACCTTTTTGAGGTTGTTAGCTGCATAAAAAAACCCTGTCCACCCATTACAATCAGTAAGAATCCAACTACTAACCAAAGAGCTGTCCAAAGACACTAGACACTAGAAATTGTACACCTCAACAAGGCTGGAAAGGGCTACGGGGAAATTACCTAGCAGCTTGGTGAAAAAAGGTCCACTGGTGGAGATATCATTAGAAAATGGAAGAAGTTAAACATGACTGTCAATCTCCTTCAAACTGGGGCTCCATGCAAGATCTCTCCTTGTGGGGTCTCAATGAACCTAAGAAAGGTAAGAAAACCCAATAGACCAGCTTTGGGAGCTCAAACTCCGTGTTTCTCAGCTACAGCCCAGAAACCTGACTGGTCTAGAGAAGATCTGTGT